GGTCTAAGCCGGACGAGCCAGAGGATGGTGGTTGCATCAAGAGAGCAGTGTACACAATGAGATGTGTCCTGCGGTGAGGAAGGAGGGATGATCAGAGGAGATGGTTACGGGTTCATCTGCTGACAGACCCCTCTTGGTCCGTGTGGCTGTCCCCACAAATGGACTGCTGTTTGCTGGTCCTCCTCAGAGATCCTGTCATGGGCTGCAGAGCAGAGCATGAGCTCAAAGCAGGGGCAGATGGCTGCTGCTGCCTGTTCCAACCTTTGGGGCTCCACTGGGGCACCAACTGGTGAAGGGCAAAGGGATTCGAGGCAAGTTTAGGGTCAGATGGGGTCTTGGTGCCTGGCAGATGGGGCATTTACTTGGGGCGGGGAGGTGGGGGGAAGACAGCTCTCCCAGCTGTGCCTGGAGGGGGTAAGAGGCAGAGCATCCACTCCTTCAGCAAAGAGCGGAGGCCCAGGAGTGGTCTTTTCTTCTTCCAGAGTGGATGCAGCAGCAAGACCTGAGAAATTATGATGTAGCAGGTGGACCTGGACCCTCACAGCCAGGAAGAGAAAACGGGCGACCTCCAAGCCCACCCATGGGCCTGGAAGCTGAGACTAGTCTTAAAAATACAGACATAATGGCAGCACCCCTGCTCTGCAAGCCGAAGAAGGATGGTGGAAGTTTGTTGTTTGTTTTTTTTTTTAATTTCTTTTTCCTGCAAGTTTAGGAGAAGTTAGGAAATGTGAAGGAAGACAGAGACAGAAGCTGTTCACCATGGCTACTACAAGAAAGGGTGGTGGTTTATCAGTGCTAGCTCAGAGATGCTCTGGGGATATGGGAACGTGCTCTGGAGAGGCTGGGAGAGGTGGGGAAGATAAACCAGGCAGAACAGACCCCTAAAGTGCAGGTGCTTAATACTGCCAGCATGGGCAAGTTAGGAAGTTGGATCTCCCTCAGTCACGCTTCAGCTTGACTGGAAGACTAGAGTGGAGTTGAAACCCCAGACTCTGCTTCCCTTGGAAAGGATTGGGAGTGTTTCATGTGTTGTAAGGACATCGAGCTACCTCCAGAGGAACCTGTCCCTGCAGAGATGACCATAGGGAAGCCTCAAGGAGGGAAAATCCACCTCCAAGACAGCTGAGAGCCTTCCTGGAAACCAAGATGGTCCTCCCTAACAGCAACTGCCCAAAGTGCACTCTCGGTGAAAGGAGATTGTACCTATTCCAGCACTTCACCTGTCACCCTCAGCAAACCCCATCATATCTTCTGTCTCAGCCCAGCAGCAGGAGCAGTTTCATCCTCACAGCCCACCCGAGGCCAACAAACAGCTCCAGAGCCAGGCTGGAATCATGTTTGTGCTACGGCTGCCACGCAGAGCCCTGCTGTGACCTCCTCCTTCCTCACCTACCTCGTACCGATCCCCCAAAATGCTCCTGACACCCAGAGAGCCTGGGCATCAGGAGTTGGTGAGACACTCATCATGGCTGGCTTCAGAGCCAACTCTGGAGAGCGGGAAAGAGAACTGTGAAAGAGCTGAGCCCTTCCTTTGGAAAATGAAAAAAACTTCAGCACTACATGACTACAGGAATTAAAAAACAGATCTGTAAAAACACCCAAACTCTACCTTAAAAACTAATCCTCTCCCTACACAGATTTCCCTGCTTTGGGGCCAACTCCTGCAAGCCAATGCAGCTCCATGGTCAAACAGCACAGGTCCACCAAGGGCATAGAGATGCATATTTGCACTCGTAGAGAACCTGTGTGATTTACCCCCAGAAAGGCATCTCCTACACACATTGCCAGCAACCATCACACCACTGGCACAGTGGGATGCACCAAAACACCTCTCAGGGCCTTTTCGTGTCCCAAAAGTTTGGATTTATGCCCCTCTATTCAGTGGGAAAATATTTTTGCAGACTACAGGGATGTGGCTGTGTTTCACATGGTGGCCATACCTGCCTTGACAGAAAGCGAAGCATTCGAAACCACAGAAAAGGCAAAATACACGCTCAGAATTTACAGGAATAAAACATTTCCTTTTTTTTTTCTTTTTTTTTCCTCTTTTTTATGTCCAAAACAAGCGTTTTTTGTTAGTTTCTTTGTTTTTCAACACACGCACCATCTAGAAAGTTAAACGCCATGCAGATGAAGAGAGTGCAGCTAGAAAGTCCCCCGGGGCAGCAGCGCTGCAGGAGTCTCACATCAACAAGCAAAGAGGTTCCAGTCAGAAAAAAGAGAACAAGAAACAGAAGAATTACCAGAAAAATATCCAACCTTGGACCTCTACCTGATGGCAAAGAGGCGAGACCAAAATTCCCCTTCCTGGCCATGTCTTCTGTCCTGAAAGCCACATCCCAGTGGCTCCCCAAGAGCCGTGGGGTGCGGGAAGGTGCCCCTAGAGAGGGGTGCCCCGGGGACGCAGGGGTCTCAGCCTGCCTGGTGCTGCAGGACAGGATGGGCTGAGCCGCCATGGTGCAGTGTGGAGGCCAGCAGCTGTGGGACCCCTGGCAGGAGCATCGCGGTGGCACAAGCCGTCTCCAAATGTAAACGCAATGAAAAACCAGCAACCCCTGAAAATCCCCCCACCCTCCCTGCCCTAAACAGTTGAATGTTTCTAGTTATTACGTAAAGATCCATTTCAGCAAATACTCAAAATCAAGTTACGAAATACACGGTAGGTTGGGTTTTTTCCCTATAAAAAGGCATGCGCTCAAAGTAGAAGACAGCTAAAGGCTTGTTTGTTTTCTTCAAAGCACGATCAGATTCTGCAGAGTTCTGTTACTTTATAAAGCTTGCATTCCTCATCATCGCTGGAAGGAGTTGTGTGGGTGATGGAGGTTTGCACCTCAAATCGGTGGCCAGCTTGGCTGCCTCCGTCCCAGCCTGGGAGCCAGGTGCGAGAGAAGCACTGGGTGCTGCATGCGAGGGGCAGGGGTGGGTGCTCGGCAGGGCTGGAGGAAAGGATCCGGGCTGAGTGGTAGGTGGGAAGGAGGGTGCGGGAGCGATGCTACCACCATGGCAAGGCTGGGAGAGCCCTGGCTCCCGGCTGTGCCGACGCGGTGTTGGGAAGCAGTCGCCTTAATCCTCCTCTCTTCGCCCAGCTTCGCCGGTCCCTGCTCCGATGGGAGAAGGGAGGAAGGAGGGAGAGCATCCCTCTGGGCACAGCAGCCACTCAGACCCAGGGCACAAACGTACTCGCCCTCCTGGGAAGGAGCCAGCCTACACTCCTGGGAAGGGAAAATAAACAGATAGCCTTTACTCACCCGTCCAAACACCCTCCTTGCCTACGGGTGCACGGAAGCTGGACTTTGCAAAGGGTTTAAACTGCGATTCCTTGACTGAGGCTGCTGGGAAGCAAGAGCTTGGATTGGGAGCAGGCAGGAGCCACGGTGGCAGACGAGGACCTCGATAGCAGCAAAGCAAAATCCACCAGCGTGCAGGGAGGGTGCAGCACAGAGCAGCTCAAAACTGCCCCCCTGCCCTCCTCTGCCTTGGAGGGGCTCCCAGCAGAAGTTGAGATGGAGAAGGATGATGAGTCTGAGCCCAATTCAGGAGACATGCCAGATGGTGGGGGAACCCAGCAAATCCATGCAGCCGAGGAAGGAGGCCTTTACCCCGGCATACATCATCTCACTGGCCAGATGCTTGGGTTTAGTTCATGGTTTCTCTTTTCTTGGTTCATGCAGAGGAATGGGACCCAGTGGCATGGCCCTGTTGGTGTGGAGGAGGTCGATGGGATGCTTGCGTGGCACCGGAGGGGCCGTTGCGTGTGTGCGGTGAGAAGCGAGGGGTTATTCCAGCGGGAACCAAGCAGCAGAGCCAACAGCCAAAGTCCCATAGGTGAAGAAGTTGGAGGAGGTCTCCCCTTGGTAGTCAGTCAGTGACAAACCCCACATGGGCAGGACCGCGCTTCAGCTACAAAAGACAAACCAGGCAGACAGGGAGTTTGCTTCGACTGTCCCTTTGGCAGAGCATCCCTCTCCCCATTGCTGTCTCATGGCCTTTGGCCAACTCCACCCCACCGCAGATCCTTGGGGCAGGATCCTGCTTGTTTTGCAGCCTCAATACCACAGGGACCTTCCACCATCCCCTCCATCCCCCCCTGCCCCATCCCTGGAGCCTCACAGGGCTTACTGCGGTAGCACAGAGGGCGCGCCAGATCTGTGGAAGTGGACGATTTGCCATTTGCCATCCCGGCGGTGCCAGATGCGGGTCTCCTCGGACTGGGCGGTGCGGGGGATCCCGCCCGCGTCCACGTACTGCGTGATGCGGATGTAGGCGATGCAGGCGGACTCATCTCCCATCAGGTGGATGTGAGGATTCAGGATTGTCGTGTGCACGGGCTTGCTGTTCCGGGACCACACTGGAGAGGGGACAAGCACAGGCAGATTTAGGCAGGGGAAGGAGTTTGGGTAGCTCTTGCCCAGGGCCACAGCAGTGTGGGAAGGAGAGATGCCTGGGTGAAGCTCTCTGCTTGGCGGAGCTGAGTAAAGGCTGGATGGGTGGGTTCAGGATGGGTCCACATAGAAAGCAGCTAGCCAAGCATCTCTGTATACAGCCTGGGCCTGGCTGACCTGACAGGCTTGATGCACCTCTTGTTGGGATCTTCCAGATCAGAGATGCTCCCAAAGCTACCCTTACCCTCCTCTCTCCAGCAAGCTGATGGAGGTCAAGACACAGAGAACATGGAAGGTGGGAAGAGTCCCTCAGGAGGCATGGGGGCTGCTTACGATTCTCAAAGTAGAATCGGTGGAAATCCAGGCCTTCCACGAGGTTGCCCAGAGCCTCGGGCTCGAAGGCTGTCATCCCAGGGTCACACATCTTCCTGGGGAGGCAAGAAGGGAAGAGAAAAGGGAGAGCTTATCTCACTGCTTCTGGTGTGAGAGCCTGCAAAACCCCAAAGGCTCATGCTTGGGATGACGCCCCCTCAGCCTGAGACCAAGGAGTCTGCACCAGTGCACAATTCAAGCAAAAGTCTGACCTCATCCCTGCACTCTGCATGAAGCCCACCCCACCTCATATCCAGCCCACCAACTGCAGCCAGGCCCCCAGCAAGGCAGAGTAAATTCTCCATCTGTCACCATCTCCAATTAAACCTCCCAAAACACTGCTGTCTTCTTTGTAAGAAAGAAAAACAGCAGGGAAAAACTCATATTCTCTGCTCTGTATCAAAATATCCCTGCTGTGATTCTCTGAGGCAGGAATGAAGACCTGCACTTGCTCAGAAATCACTAATTAAATAGGCTTTGGACACAGAAGAAGTGTACTCTGAGGGGCATCAGCTCAGTGAGTAGAAAGCAGTTATGCTTCCAAGCGGCCTGCGGCAATCTGGATATAATGGATACCATGGATGCAATGTTTCGTCTTCCACCATAAATCACGTTTACAGTTATTCATCATTCTGCAAAACAGAAAATGGGCTCATCCCTGATAATGAGACCGGAGAAATGCGGTCAGCTTAGTGTGAGAGAAGCACTAGATTTGGAAAATGATGTCTACTGCTTCTCTTGGATGGTCTCCATGTTCCACCAGCACATCAACCTGGTCATCCTGCCCTCGGCAGCAGTAAAACCCCACAGGCTGTGTTGGCACAGTGAACACACCCGCTCCAGGAGGCTGAGCCCCCACCCCGGCCCAGACCCACACTGGGCACACTCACGTGTAGGACTCAAAGTCGCCGTTGCTTATTGCTTCAATCAGCTGCTCTGTGACTTTAATGATTTCTTGCTTCCGTACTGTTGGTTTAAAGAGAAAAAGAAAATAAAAGGAGAAAACAAACCAGGAGTGCTGGTGTTGCAAGATCAATGAGGTATCTTTTTCTCGTTAGAAACAGACGGTGGGACATTTGGGGCCATTGGAAACTGTCCAGGGCAAAAGCAGGATTGAGACTTGGGAGAGAGATGTGAGGAAAGGCTCTTCATCCCTGGAGAGGAAAGACCTCCAAAGTCAAGGCAAAACTGCAAAACTCTGCATTTTCCTAAAGAGCAAAAGGGTTAATCACGGAGTCGTGAGCTGCCCTTGGTGCAAAATGGTGGCACAGGCTGGTCTGGGCTGCAAAACCTTGTCAAGCCAGGGCTTTCCACTCTGTGATCTCAGAGCAGGGCCAGCCAGGGCAGAGCTGGACCAAGGATGCTCTCACCTTCCTTTGAGATTGGAGGAGAGGGTCTCAGCTGGGAAGTACAGGTGAGTGACGTGGCCATCCACCTCAGGAGACACAAGGGGGGACTCGACAGAGGGCAGGGCACCATGCGGCTGCTGCCGAGGTGACAGGTCAGCTGGGAAGGGACCTGGTTGCCAGAGCGAGTTTGGCTCCCAGGGATGCGGGGGAGACTGTCAGAGGTGGCCCTTGGCTTATTAACATGCTCTGTTTCAAATGCAAATCAGCATCATGCTTGGCTTAACTTTTTTCCTGGTACCATGACTAATGAAAGGAGAGGCAGCACGTTCCTGAGAGTCATTCCGAAAGGAGTAGAGGGAACCCCATCACTTCCCGAGCACCGCCTGTCCCTGTGTCCACTCTCAGGGAGCTGCTCCCCAGGAGGACAAATGTCCCATTAACTCTCATGTCAGGCCAAAGTCCATCTTGCTTTGTGCTGGGATCACTTCGTCGAGAGACTTTACAAATTAGCACTGATAAATTATTCCCTTGGCTATTCTTAGAAAGCTGGCTCTGCAGGCAGGAGGCAGGGACTTCCCCTGGAGGCTTTTCCCAAAGGACTATTTATTTCAAAGAAGTGTGCAGCCAGGATGCTATCCCTGCAGATTTCTGCCATATCCATGCCTGCTTTCAAGTAACATCCCTGTTTTCGGGAGCCCCCTCCTCCTTGCCAGCAGTGCTCCAGCTGCTCGTGGCAGCGACCCAGCAGTGCAACCACCTGAGGGGCCCCAAGGAATCTCAGTGTTGGTGGATTTCACCATAGCCAATATCTCATTACGAGTGCCCCGACTCCTGACCCCAGGCCACCCTTCTGAAATTGCCCGCCTCCCCGGGTACCCCCCTGGTACCTTTGGTGTCTTCATCCTCAATGGTGGTGTTGGTGCTCTCCGATGATTCCTGAGCAAAGAACAGAGAGGAGAAACGGGGCGGTAAGAGGGGTCTTCTCCCCACGCCAGACAGAGCTCGTGTGTTCGACAGCCCCCCGAGTCCGAACCCACAGCGCTCGACTGTGCCAACGGACAGCAACCAAGGATAACACCAGCAGGTCCAACCCGTCCTCAACCACAGCTCTAGGGCGGCGCTGGCAGAGCCCTCCCTGACCTCCACTCCTTGTAGCCAAGGGCACAAGAGCTGGGCTCTGGAGGGTCTCGTAGGAACGGCGCTGCCTTTCCTACCGACGCCTGTGGGGACAGAGATGGGGGCAGGTCCGGGGGGGCTTGATGGGTTCCTAGGAGCGTTGCCAGAGGGGCAGGGAGAGGGGCTGTGCAGGGGTGGAAGACACCATGTTGACTGTACGATAAAGAGAAAGATGTACAAATTAAACAGCGAGGAGGAGCTGGGATGAGAAAGAGGGGACTGTGCAGGAGTGAGAGAGACCACACTGACCGCAGAGTAGGGAGAGAAATGTACAATAAAACAGAGTGCTTCCAAGACCCACATGGACCACCAAAGGCTGAGACACAGCTCTTTCAAGATACAGCTGAGCACTACACAGATTTGGGGGGGCGGGGGGTACTGACCCCCCATCTCTCTCCAGGAGCCCCAACAAGGTGACTCTGCTAGCGGAGCTAGAGCAATGGCTCTGCTAGCTCTTCCCAGCAGAGCCTTGCTTACGTATTACCCATAATACCCCGATGTAGGTTGGCAAGGTGTCCCATGACCATACAGTCCCCGCAGAGGCATGGAAGATGTTTCTCCAAGGCTCCTTGCACCGATGCAGCCTGCAGACCTGAGTCAGGAGAACTGGGAGAAACGGCATGAGAACCCATCAGCAAGAACCAGGGCTGGCTTCCCACCAGCTGGTGGCCAGCGAGTGCCTGCACCAACCCTGTTAATGGGGTTTGTGGGTGATACGGCTTTGAGGATGTTCCCTCCAACCCCGCAGTCCCTTCTTCCCTACCCCGAGGTAACTTCCAAAAACAGGGGAAGCTGGAACATGTGGAGAGGCCCAGCAATATCGGCATTGAGGAAGACGAAGGACACTCACCATTAACTGAACGCTGGAACTGGACTTTCTTTTCTGGAAAAACAAGGAGAAGAGATGGAACAGGAAGAGACACAGAGTGAGAAAGGCAGAGAGCAGCACGTGAGAGGCAGCAGCTCCTGAGCCACCCTCAGTGGTCCTTGTGGAGGGGCAAACAAAAGGCACGGCTGGGCAACCTAGTGCTCCTGTAGGGACATGCTACTGGCTACGGTGCTGGTGGTGCCATGCCAGCTCCCTCCCCACCTTCTTGCTGACATCTTTCTCTTCTGACCTGCCACAATCTCTGGTGTTGCTCATGCCAAGGACCTGGCCAGTTCAAATGAGAGTCCTCTACAAGTCGGTGGCCATTCCTGTCGCTTTGTGACAGGGCCAGCAAGCTCACAGGCACAGGAGTGGGACACTGAAAAGCTAAGGCAGCTCCACCACCTGCGCAGCCCTGCACCCGGTATGAACACCATAGTGGCGTTTACAGTGTCTGGAGCTGTTCTGAGTGCATCTGCCCATGCTGCTGACTACTGTGAAGATGCTCAGCTACCTTTGGACCTAGACCAGTACTGAGCTGGCTGGTTTAAAGCCAGCATGGCTATTGCTACTCGACCCCTCAAGGCAGACACTGTGTGGGAAGTCATCCTAAGTGCAGCTCCAGTGCTTTAAATCAGGACAAGTCGTCTTCAAAGAGGAGATCTTACACATGCATGTACTTATCTCCATCCTCAACTACTATAATTAAGCTTTTGGGTTGGACAATCCTACACGTTTCTGCTTGCAATCCCAAACTACTTCTGGACTCTCCTTCCTTGCCGTGCTCTGCTCCCTGTCTCCATCTTCAATCTAGCCAGGAGATGGAGGGACATGCACGCTGGACTCATGCCCTTTCTCCAGCTCCCAGGGGATGGATTACAGTGGGTGATGGGAAACACCAGTGTGCAGGCATCAGAAGCTGCAGTGCCAAATAACGTATTTTACCAACATATTTAATGAGGCACCAGCTCTGCCTGCCCTGCAGAGGAAAAAGCACCACACAGTGTGCAAATCTCTTGGAAAAGTCCATGGAGTGGTCCGTTAGGGTGTGTGGATGGGCTGCAGTGTAAAAACTGCATCCATTTCCTGTCATTGCTCCTTGCACATCTTAACTAGCTCTCACAAGCATCGTCACTGAATTTTCCCCTCTGCCAGTGCAGCTCTCCCCTCCCTTGCTAGGACCTATATTAATCCTCGCCCCTTCTTCACCAAAACAACAGATGTCCTAAAGGGCAGAGCGAGCTGCGGTATTTCAGAAGGAACCTCATGAGTTGGGCTGTCTGCAGGAAGGGCTGACAGTTTCTGCTACCCAAGGACATGAGACGGGGCAGTAAACTGCAGAAATTTCAGACGCAACAGAATGCAACACAAAGCAGTGACCGCGTCGAGTCTGGACATACAGTAACAGGATGCAACACGGGGCAGTGAGCTCATTAATTTAGGACGGAACAGGATGCAACATGGGGCAGTGATTTCATTAGTTTACAATGTGACAAGATGTGACACTACACAGGGCAGTGAAGGTATCATAGCTGCTGGGACCAGAAGACCTCTCACAGACCCTGGAACAGGGGTCAAGGAGTTTTTGTGGTCCCATGAATGCTTTTAGTAGGGAAGGAACCACCTTGGGTGAGTTTTGAGGCCTCTCAGCCTGAGCTGGCACCACCCTGACTCTGGAGGGCTGTGTGGGCAGCACCAGATACGTATGTTTGGACAGGAGCAGCAGGGGTGGCTGTCTAAGACCTGCCTGCTCTTGTGGGGACGGTCAGTCCAGCAGGTTTCTTCAAATGGGGACACAACTCTTGTGACCATGAACAACACTACATGGCCTGACTTACAGCCCTGCTCTGAGCAGGTGGAACTGTGCCCTTCCCACCTTTCCAACCACCCAAGGCAGGTTTCCAGGTTCCTACCTGGCTTTTCCAGCAAGATGGAAAGAAATAAACACCACCCACCAATGCCCGGCATCTGCCAGCTGCCCATGATGGGCCACCAAAGCTTCATTGGAGCACCCGGTCTCCCTGTGCCCCTGTGAGTGGGTTACACTGTGAGACCCCCAGGCTGAGCATGGCAATGAGAGGTGGGGTGGTAATGCTGAAGGTGGCCAACACAGGAAATTTGTTGGGAATGAGCCTTCTCCTACTTTGTTTTCTCTTCCTCCACCTTCCTGGCCATCTAGCCCAGCTGAGTCACCTTCACTTGCTGGAAAGGGGGCAATAAAAAAGCAAACTCATCTCCCAGAGCTTGTCTACCCTCTGGAGCTGAGTGTTGACGGATAGACTGCGCTCAGGATGAAGCCTCACTCACTGCTCCCTGCCCACCAGCGAGCAGCTGAGGACTGGGGACACAAACCAGCCTCTCTGATCCT